CGTGGATCTATCGTTTTGTTCTAGTCTTTTCTTCTTCTTCTTCTTCTCTCTCTCTCTCTCTCTCTCTCTCTCTCTCATTCGTTTCTCAATCATACACGACGTGATACACGACGAAACGCGACACACGATAGATCTTCCAACCGATTTAGCGGTTACATTTTTCTGCTACGCGTTTAAAATTTTCAAGCAACCGCGTTGAACCGTGTTTGCAATCCTTTCAAATCGAAGTTGAAGTCGATCGTCGGGAGGAAAATGCATCGTGATTACACGCGGAGAGAATCTGTGGACGATTAGGCGCGGAGAGATATCGAGGTTCAAGAACGAACGAGACGAACGGGTTTTTCGGTATCCTTTTTCCCGGTGGATAGCTGTTTTTATTCGCCAGCCAGGCTCGAATAGCCGCCGCGAAATGTCCTAATAAATATAACGCTCGCCACGGACGAGTGGAGACATTAATTCGCGCCAATAAATATTCCCATCGTTCCGGCACATAAACCTGGCGTTTGTCATATACACGCAGTCATTTCGGTTAAAAGGCATTCCCTCTGCCACTGAATGCAAATGCGAGTGCTCGTTGTGCGTGCCGTAGGGTCTCTAAAGTGCTTTCAATTACGTGTTCCACCTAACGTCCTGGCCTGGAGGGCCGTTTTCCTATGTTTTGCATAACCGGGATTTTCAAGTGTTTCACGCCCCACGAGGACGCGCGACGCGCCACGCCACGCCGCGCCGCCCAGCTATATACGCTTCTTTATCCTACGATTCTTTTTTCCTCTCTTTCCGTCTCCCTAACCAGCCTTCCTCCACCTTTCTCGCCTCTTTCGTTGCTGTTTTTCCTCTCCTCCCCCTTTATTCCCTTCTTTTCTTTTCTCTTTTCTCGACCGACCAACAACACCCCCAAAGTGCGTGCGCCAATTGGTCCCCCCTTCCCCCCCTCCCCCCGCGAGAGCGAAACAATTATACCCGCGAGAGGAGGAAAAAGAAAGAAAGAAATATCAATTTTTTCCTTCGAGTATCTTCGACGCGCTTTGGGGATAAAGTTCTCTTTTTTTCTTCTTCTTCTTCTTTCTTCTTTTTCGTCCCGTTTATTACTATTCTATTCTCGTGTGCAATCTTTCTTTGCATGGATTTCACGCAACGTGTCGATGCCTGCCGCACTACGAATCCGCACGTCGATTATTGAATATTTCGCGCCCGACGATCGGCCATCGGTCGGTCGCGCGATATCGCCGCTATTACTCGACCAACTTGTAATAACGAGCGCTCGACGAAGGAGCGGTCGTTTGTTGTCGTCGCGGTAATGGAAACGAACTGGGGGAAACAACCGCGCTCGAGAGACGCACGCGAGAAATATTCAAATTATGCCCGAGCGATGCTCGGATCGTTCGATCATCGAGGCGGAAAAGAAAAAAAATTAGTGAAATGCGGCCGGTTATTTTGTCGACGCGGATCAATCTTGATGAAACACGAGCCGCTGCTCGAGAGATAGGTATCAACCGACGACCATGTTACACGCTACGGATAACGCGGAAATCTGTCACTCGGAACAGCCGTCGTTTCCCTACCATCGTTAATCGCAATACACGCAATATAATATATATGTATATCCTAATGCAATCAATCTTCGACTAATTAATTATCTCGTAACGTGTACTCTGATCAAGTTCATCGACTGCGAATAAATTAATTCTTTTTTTTAATCGATAAAAAGAAAAATCACCGACGATTAACCAGTATTCGTTTCGTTTCTACGTATATTTCAGATAACGTTTCTCCGTTTCGAGTCGAATCGGAATTGAAAAGGAAAAAGAAAGAAAAGAAATCCGTCAATGGACCGATCGATTCTTTCTCGATCAAGATCGATCCTAAATCACGCGTGTTCTATTACCGATTCTATTAACAGTTACAAGTAGTTTTAGTAATTTTAGTTATAACTCTTTCCCTGGCCTCGATCCCGGGTTTAATTCGTGCTTGATTTCGTTTCCATTTCGCTCCACGTTTTTCCACGCGGAAACCGCGACTCGCTCGCGAACCGTAGCCATAACGCCCACACGGTGTCTCGCACCTGACTCTATTCCTCGACTGATTTACACTCGGCTCGGCCGTGCTCGAAGA